ATATATATATATATATATATAATGCTCAGTTGTTCGCCGAGCTTGGCAATAGTGTTGTAAACGTTTCGTCACCAGTCGAGGTGACATTCTCAATGCAGTAGCTGGGTGCGCGCTTACGAGTGTATCTTTTCTTGTAAAGATCATTGAGTGATTGAGAGAGATGGCATTGCTTGATTGGCTGACGTTTCTTCTCCTTGACCCACTAGGGGATAAGGCGGACGCGAGCCGTCGGTCGGCTGGTCGTTGATCTATCAGTCTAAGTGTTACGGTTTTCCTGCTGTGATCTGTGACAACCCACCTTCTTTGGGCTGATGAGTCCTTTTGTTGATTGGGGGTGTAGACCTGATCAACGTTAATATATCGATTGACTGAGTTTTCTGATGAATGCTAAGGTTGGTGCTTGGTGCGGGCTTGATCGACGACTTTGATGTTTTCGAAATCGAAGTTATGTCCTTCTTGGTTCTCGTGAGTTGAGATGAGTGAGAGTTCATCGTGTCTTTTGACGACCAGTTTGTGTTTGTGTGCGCGAGTTGCTAGTTTTCTCCCTGTTCGACCGATGTAGTGCTTGTTGCAGTCCTTGAAATTGATGCGGTAGATCACATTTATTTGATTTTTGTGTTTTTGTTTCTTCCTGGATTTCAATAAGATTCTCTGTGGTGTGGTCGTTGGTTTGTGGGCTACTTGAATGTTGTGTGGCTTCAGTATTATTGTGGTCGTTTGAGAAATGTTCTTCACACGCTATGATTATTCGCATATTCGAACAACCTAACTCGAACACAACAACACATAAGGACAAATGAACAACCGATCAGACCCCCTAGTCTGCAGATTGCTTTTTATTGAGGTTATCTTCTACCTGACATTTGAAAGATTTTAAAGATCGGATTGAAAAACGGTCAAGTTTTTTTAGCCGCATGTTTTATTAAGACTTTACTTTCTTTGTTGATAAGGGTTCTGATAGTTATTTCGGATTTCAAAATCTATCGATTAGGGTTCTGGTACGTGTCTCTTTTCCTGACCACACGTGAAATTTCGTTTCATTGTATTTTTTACTGTTATGCGAACTTTGTAGATATACTAATTTGAGCTTTCTATTCTTTTCCAAATTTTTCACTTTCTGTTATAGCTCGGACATCCGCTGGGGACTCTCTCGGCTTCTATCGCAAGTGTTGCACACACTAATTTGGCACCAGTTTCATCGGCAATACAAGTTTGTCATTATCCTGCCCCTTCAGGTGGCACAATGTACCCTAGTGTGCCGCACGCTGCCGCCGCAACACCAGGAATGGTTCCAGTCGGTACTCCTAATGCAGTGACGCTGGTTCTCGGTCAGGCGCCTCCGGCAGCATATGCCCCTATTGGACCACAAGGACCTCCCGGTTTGCATTTGACCAGTAACTTGAAAACAGAGTCTGCATCCGTGGGGTCTGTTTCTCAGTTATCTTATCCCTTTCCCGGTCCTTCAGCTGTGTTAACCCCAGTCCCACAATGTCCTCCTACATGCTCCCTGGCCAGCCCTGATGTGCTTGGTAATTCAGCCAGTCTCTCTTTGGCTTCTGCTCCATCAAATAATCTTATCGAAACCAATTCGGGTACTCCTCCACAAGCGCCGGATTACTCTCCACACAGCGTGACAAATCGAAACGTTACGCGTCGTGAGAAAAGATCTAAAGTTCACTGAGTAAAATTAAGTCGCTTTAAAGAGGCTGTATATATTTTCCCCTCCCATGTACAATAATCCATGCTTTATGTATACATTTTTCTGTGTACAAAGGTTTTGCAAAGTAGCTACTTGACTCGTAAGTTTCGGTGTCCCTGTATTTAATCGGATCATAAAATGTGATGATTTGGCTTTTGATTCTGGTTCTTCGTTGTTGATTTACTATTCAACGGGTGTATTGGTATCATGAAATTGCATGAAAAACAAAGGCTTTCGCAACTTCTCATTTCGGCCCCGTT